CTAGGAACTTTGGATGTAAAAGAAACTACGAAATAATTCAAATCACTGCTGCAAACATATGAGTTTATCTGCCAAAAATATTTGGTGGACGTTAGTGGCAGCTTTTAAGGGCTCCTATAAATTGTGATGTTATCACATGGACTGCTTCACAATTTACAGGTTCCTGATGTTGAAGGTTCCAAGAAAGATCGTTGTGAGCTAACTAGAACTCCTTACGGCAGGCATTTCATACATGAGGTTAGAACTCAGTCACTGCTGGTATAATTTATTTATGGCACACCATTTCTTTTGTCTTCTTGTTGATGGGTAATTTTTTAATCATTGTTTTATTAGGAGATAAATTCATACCTAAAATATTTGTTTGAGATGATTGTGAGTCGGGGCCCTGAGGTAGGGCTTAATGTGTCATTGAATCGGTATGACTTCTTTCATGGTCACATCTTTCTTGCCACAAACTCTGGAAGGCTTGGTATTCTGTAAGTTGCAGGCCTCTCATTGTTTCTTTGGTATACTTTATTTACTGTGTTACTTTTCTATCACTTTATTAACATGGTTTATTTGCCATCAGTTTACTTAAATGGAAAGATTATGAAGATCAAATATAGTGTTTATTTGGCGTTAGGCAAATGAAATGGAAGAAAGGAGATCACTTCCCTTTATTATTTAGAAAAGGGAAAATGGAAACTAATAATCCAACCTTTTAACGGTCATGGACCAGTGAATGAAGATGAGGTGCAAAGGTTGGATTATTCATGAATAATCAAAAGGTGGGATTATTGTAAGAAGACCGCTTAAAGGTTAGATTATTAGTTTCCATTTTCCCTTTAGAAAATAAAGACGAAAGTTGTAATTTTACAATTGTAACATTCTAAAAGGGTGAAAAAGTATATCATCCCATAAAATGTAAAAGGTGAAATGAATGTACAGACAAAAGGAGGGCAATATTTAAACACATATGTAACTCATGTATGATCCAGAGAACACATTACATTTTATCATTTTTTTATATGCACTCATAGATGTGATGAACAAAACAGGGTGTCATCTTATAATACTTTAAAACTGAATGTGATAGTCCATTTGATTATATGCTGTAAAGAGATCAGGAACTGCACTTTCTGCTTGGATAAGAAATAGATGTATCATGTTTTTAGTCTGCTGATAGCCTGATAGAGATTGTACACGACATCTGCTTTAATTTCTCTAGTTGCATAAACTTTTTCTGTGCTATGTTTTTTTTGTCTGCTATGCTCTTCTAATCATGCAATAAATTATGCAGCTTTCACGCAAAAGAGTACCCAGCGTATGATAAGAAAGTATACCCTATCAACATGGGTTACTGTCAAAAAGGTAGATTTACTAATTGCATCTTTCTGAACCTTCTTTTTAACCTCAATGTTCACTTTGTCTGAATGTGTTTGCAAATTTGGGATAAATATAGCCATGTAATAAATGTTTACAAACTTTCATCAGGGTCCAATGTGGCTTATGATGATTCAATGAATTTACGGAACATATTGTGGCTGGCTCCTTTACCGAGTGATTCAATGGATAAATGGTTGGCACCTGGTAAATCATCTCTATATCATGAATAGAAGAAGACCTAGTTCTGAATTTGTTGATGATATGCTCTTCTTCATTCCACTTCTATGCTAGTATGTTAACCAGAGAACTTTGTCAAATGTCAACTCCTTTATGTTTACTTACTGCCTGCAGATTTTACCATTGTCTTTACTGTAGCATCTGATATAGTACTCCAATTTACCATATTTATTTTCTAATGTAATATAAAATTTTACCATACTGACTTTTTAATTTATTGAACAATCTGGATTCTGATATGATTATAACTTTGTCTGCCTTCAAACATGATAGGAGTCCTTGTAGTCTTGGACGCACACCCAGATGGTATAATATATCGAGACCTCATACCAGAGTATGTCGATCTGGTGAGAACCCTTTATGAAGGTATGTGCATTGTCTGTAATTAGCCTTTTGTTTCACCTCATTGGCAAATCTTTGACCAAAATACCAACATGAGTATTTTGCTCGCCCATCAGACGACTTCGGACAGGTTGCGGCTGATGTTAACTACTTAAATGTGGGACTTGAAGCTCCCAACTTCCAAATTTTTATCTGCTGATTTGGTCCCAGAGGCAGTCAAGTCAGCTCAACACATTCTCCTACAATCTGTATATCTAAGAGCCTGATTGGCAAGAGTCGAATTCAGTTGCAATGGCTGAACTGGGTGATATTGTTGAAATTTTAGTTGAAATGGCTGATTTATCTAACAAAAAATGTAATGTCAGAAAAGTATATATGAAAATGGGGGTGAACAGTTTAATTTCTTTTATTTCAGTCCTTTCATCTAAAAGAATTACTTGTACATTACTCCGTTCTACTTCTGTTATTGTTGCACTTGGTATGTGTAAATAAACCCATGCATATTAATTTAGTAAGTTAGCGACTTATATATAAAGTTTTTATATAACACAAATCTATTTTTATACAATACAAATAAATCTTAAAAAGTTATTAAATGAGACTGAGTTGACTAATAAATACTCCATCCTTCTAAAAAAACTGGTGAAGCTGACAACCGTTGGTGGATACAAATGGCAGCTTGCTGTGGCAGTTGCTGATGGCTGGTAGAGGTTATGTGAAGTTGCCAAGTTGAGGACTTGGGGATGCTTATAAATTGAAGTTTTGTGTTAAAGTTAGGGAGTAAAGGGATAACCAAAAAGCTTAAAACACCGCTCAGATAATATTTCATGGGGTTTATTACGTTTGGACACATTTCATTTTGAGACGGTTAACAAAGAAATTAGGAGTGCCATAGTGGAAATGAAGTATCAGCTGCCATTCACTTCCAAAGCAAGTTGGGAGCATTTGAGCATTTCTTCTTTGGGGAGCACAATCAAAGCAATAAGAGAGTCAAACGATACTTATGTTTTTACTTGAACTGCTTTCAAATCCAGACCATATCAGACCAAACTTGGACAATTATAAAGTACACAGAGACCATACATTTATCAGATCAGATCAGATCGGAAAATTACAGTCCAAATAAAAACATTCTTATACATACTTTGTATACACTTTTTGTACACATTGGGTCGATTCGGGTCATTACTCACAATTAATGACTACATCACAATTGTTGTCTCTGAAATTAGGTTATAGGTCATAGATAACTTGTGTATCTTGGGAATATATTCAAAAAATATGTAATTTTTTAATAAAACAACTATTTTTATAGGCAGACATCATTTGTGTTTACTCATAAAAAGAACTATTTCAATGTATGAAAAGATTTAGTTGTGTGTGACAAAATACTTCTTATTTGTGGTATTGAATATTTGGAAATGTACTAACAGTGTTCAAAATGTGTATGCCAAACATTATCGATAAGAGAGTGACATGTAATTAATATATACAACCTACGACTCATATATGAGCACGACAATGACACATATTTCAATGTTTTATATTATGGCATGTTTTTCTATCATGGTTGAGAGAGACACAATATACACTATAAGCAATATGAGCAATATGCACATATTTATAATATTTAAATGAAAATAGCTTTCCCTTTAATATGAATAAAAAGGAATACTTCCTCCCTTCCCTAGTAATTCTTATTTTAGTTCCTTGAATAATTCAATTAATTAAAATATTATCACATCAAGTTTTCAATCTTATTAACTTTGAAGTATCACATGGATAAATGGATGAAATATCTCTTGATACGCATTTCTTATATTTTGTTAATGCACATAAATATCACTCAAAAAGTTATCTATGTCATTTAAATTTTGGACAAATTTTATCTAAAAAAACGTCAAAGTCTATCTCTGAAGAGTAATACTCCTTCCGTCCGTTAAAACTTTGTCATCTTTCTTTTTTGGGACGTCCCAAAAAACTTTGTCACTTTCCTTTTTAATCAATTATTTTGTGGTTTCTGTTATTTCTGTCTCCTCTGCACAAATCTCAACCACACAGTTTTTATTTTATTATTCTCCGTGCCGGTCAACTTTGACAAAGTTTTAAGGGATGAAGGTAGTACGTGATAGGGATTTGGGTTCTCTGCCTGACTTTGACAACCAGGTAGGATGTGTGGCTATTACATTCAACTCTACATCTTCCCACAGCTCTCTCCTCCCATGTTGCTTGGCGTTGGAAGTTGGATTGCTTCATGGCACCTCTGCCGTGCACAGGATCCAAATGCACTTGATGGTGCGCAAAAATGTACTACGGTACAATTTTTATACAATTGTGGATTTTTTAAAAAGTATTGCCATCATACAATATGCACGTGCGATTATGGGTGTGTATGTAAAAAAATACTACCCCATTTTATGTTTCTTCTCTGATTTTGGTACAATTTTTTAATAAAGTGGTTGAAAAAATAAAAGTTGTGATTGAGATTTGAGTATAATAAAGTGAAAATGTTGTGAACCACATGTTTATTTTCAAAAAAAAAAATGTGACATTCATTTTGAGACAAATTGAAAAGGAAAGTAAGACACGTAAATGAGACAAAGGTACTACATTTTTGTGTAAGTTTTTTATTGCTGAATGGATAATTGCACCTAAACGCTGCGCATTTTAGCAAGAAACCTAGGGAGTGTTTGCATTTGATTAAAAAAAGTACTTTTCAGCTTTTGGCTTAAAAAAAGTTAAAAAGAGTGTTTTCAAATGACAGCTTCTGCTTAAATTAATCACTTAAAAGCTAAAAGCTGGAAGCAGATGGAAGGGTGCTTTAAACTGCTTTTCACTTTTTCTATCACACAAAAAGTACTTCTTTTACCAAACACTACCAACTTTTACTTTTTCAGAATCACTTTTTCCTCAAACACTACCAACTTTTACTATTAATCACTTTTCCCAAAATCACTTTAAAAAATCACTTCTTTAAAGTTGAAGCAATTGCAAACACTCACCTAGTCGGCCGTTTAACCGTTCTTAACTAGCAATCTCGCTGCGCCGTTTCTTCCCGCGGGCTGCAAAAAGCCGTTAGTATCAATTTTCTTTCTCACATAGATATCTCAATACTTGGGTAGGAAATCTCGCACTTGATCTACAATGGTTTCTGGCAGATGGATAGAAACAGGAGCGGATCTGTGGAAGGACAAGGCTAATTCACTGCAGTTTCGGCTGCGGAACCGTTTCAGGGTCGCCGTCGATCACCACCGACGCCGCCCGAAGCTCTCAGAAGGGTACTTCGTGTCCACCATAGAGCGATTAGTCAAGCGGTTCAGCGATTTTCGTCAGGATTCTCTGCCTTCGTCCACCATTTTCTACCGCAAAAGAGGTCTCCTACCAGTTACCCGTAGACTTTTTCTTCCCAAAACGTGCAAACTTGTTCATTTTAAGTGGACCTGCGATGACGATAAATTTGATATTTACAAGATAGATGTCAAAATTTACTCGAAACTAGTGGTATTGAATCTCAAAAACCAAATTTGCATATTGTACAAAATTGATACTCAAAATCAAAGAACAAAACAAAACTTTGTTGGCCTAGAAACGTAATATACTAAATCTTTTTCCACTGAGGGGGTCATTAGGGGATGCCTAGATAGGGTTAAAATATCCCAAGTCGGTTCCAACTTATGTCTTCAAATATAGAGCAATGTTTGAATCATTGCACTCAACTTTCAGCTCAGGAACCCAATTTTGGATTTGGAGCCACCTTAGAAATGGCCTTGGTCGACTTGTGGTTCTATAAATGGCAATTCTGTTTGTGATGTTCCTATTGGTTTGCACACTATTTTTTTAGCACCGCCTTGCTAAAACTAATGTTTTCAAAGCATGTTCTTCCTGTTCTCTATGAAATTAAGGAAGGTGATGCCCTATGGTGTTGTGGTAGGTTAGCTAGTACTGCATTTTTGGTATGGGTTTGGATAGATATGTCATCTTCTTTGTCAATGATAGTTGATGATCAAATGTGCAATGTCAAACAGTGAGGGACTAGATTAAGTTGTTCTTCATAGCAGGGGAACTAAAAGTGGTATTTCCCCCAATACAATAAATAAGTTACTTGGTAAATTTGGTAACTGTTGAGTACAACATATCTGTTGCACACACTTCAGCACACCTAAATCAGCAACCTATCACCTTACATTGGTTATCGATTAAGCATGATGTTGTAGTCCTCGAAAAGACATTCCAGAAATGTAAGTCAACTTCAGTTGCTCAACAGATAAGATGTTTCGGATGATATTAGTGCTTAATAACGCTTATATCTTACAGTCTTAATAACGCTTTTTAACAGTCTTCATATCTTTTAAACCACTCTTAACCTTCTTAATGTTAACACCTAATTTTTGCCATTTATAAGCTAGCTCTATTTCTTTTCTGTGTAGTTTTAATGCATTATATACTTTGTCTTTGTATTTCACCATATATCCTCTCCATCCTTTCTATTGTCAAACATACCACATTGGATCATATGGGTGCAGTTAGCAAGGACATTGATCCAGAAGCAGATTCAGTACTGGCACGCATGCTTCAGGCTGTTGCTGTTCCTCTTCTTGGAAATGTGTGCCATGTATTTATGCATGGACTTAATCAAGTGCAGGTAACTTGATGTTATGTGTTTTTCAATATATGCACAAGAAACTACTTGTTAACGAGATAATAAGTTAGCTACCATTACAGATATATGGTGTAGAAAAACTACATAAAGCTGTGCTCAACCGGCCAGGAGACAAGCCTTTAATTACGGTAAATGTTGTCATTTAACAATTATAGAGATCTAATTTTCGTGCTGTGGCACTTTTCTTTCTATTCTCATTCCAAAGTATTCTTTATGATGATTCAAACTGTGGTTTGATGCTTTGATCTAATTTTAGGTCAGCAATCATGTTGCTTCTATGGATGATCCACTAGTCATTGCTGCATTGCTTCCCCGAAGTGTTATTTTCAATGCACAAACTTTGAGATGGACACTATGTGCAACTGATCGGTGTTTCCGAAATCCAGCAACATCGGCATTCTTCAAATCTGTTAAAGTCTTGCCAGTTTCCCGTGGTGATGGAATTTATCAAAAGGTACTTTTAGACTTTAGGTGCTCATAAGACTGCAGAGGATGTTAAACATGCTCTTTTGTAAGTGCGAAGTGACTATATGTATTAGTATGTGGCCTATACTAATAAAGAGGTAACTGTGAATGTGTGTGTGTGTATAATCTAGTCTCATCTGGTGCATATATTCAGTCTAAGCAACCTCCTGGGCTGATTTTAGACTAATGCTCATGCTATTATAAGTCGATTTTACACGAATTGAAAAAGCCAATTCATGGATATATGCTAAATTGCAAACAAATCCGCATGGTTTTGTTCTTTTTTTCAGTAAATCACTCTATATTCAAGAGCTATCAAGGTTCTCTTAGATTTGCAGCTGCAAAGATAACTTCAAATCTTATCACCAACCCTATTGGCTATTCCATTGATTGGCTGCTATACAGGGTATGGACATGGCTATCTCAAAACTCAACTGTGGTGGATGGGTTCACATATTCCCTGAAGGTAGTCGTTCTCGAGACGGTGGGAAAACCATGGGCTCTGCAAAAAGAGGCATTGGAAGGTAATGCTTCATAGGACGAAATGGCAATTAATTAGCCGATGCTGAATGCATGCTTAGCTAGAAAACCTTACATTTTCTTCCATTGTGGAATATGATTCATCAAAAGTGGGAAAGTGTAGAAGTTAACATGATCATGAGAAGAATGACTAAAATGATTCTATCTTCTTTAAACAATGAACAATATACCCCACATCTTCTTTACTTTTATAGGTTGGTCCTAGATGCTGACCGTGTACCAATAGTTGTCCCATTTGTGCATACTGGGATGCAAGAGATAATGCCCATAGGAGCCAAGTTTCCCAGGATTGGAAAGTCGGTATGCCTCTCTCTCTCTCTCTTTGCCCATGTATATAGTAGCTTAAATCTTGTAAAGATAGTTAAGTACTACTCCATCTGTCCTGAGGAAAGACGTTCATATGAGGAAGGTACAACTCCTCATTTTTCTAGTCAACTAAATCAAGGTACACGTTTTTATAAACCAAAAACTTATTTCCACTTACCATTTCGATATCCATGAAATTTACTTTATAATGAAATTTGACTTTACAAATTGGAGTCTTTTGTGGGACAAAAGTTCTTAAAACAACACTTTATTTTTTTGGAACAGGAGGGAGTATAACTGGTTCACACTTCATTTCATCGACATTGAAAAATATTTGTACTTTTTAGGGGTGGAAAAATGGAATAAAGAATTGTTGGTGTATGTATCGTGTTTTTTTTTATGGAATTTTCCTTGTAATTCTTAGTCTTGCAAACTTGATAGGTGACTATACTTGTTGGTGATCCTATTGTTTTTGATGACCTTCTTGCTGCGGAGGGAAATCACAACATATCAAGAGGAAAGCTCTATGATGCTGTTTCTGCTAGAATTGGTGATCGTTTACAGAAGCTAAAAACACAAGTTGACAGATTAGCAGCTAAACAATCACTTGATCAAGAGAGTTGCTTAGTGGAAGCTGATTTGGAGGATAGAATCGGTGGTGCAGAAGATGATAGAAACAAGGACTCGTATTTTAGAATGGGCTTCTCTGGTTATTATGGCGGTTTCAGATCAAGAGTCAAGAATTACATGGATTCAACTGACCTAACACTCTTCTCAGCTAGAGGTTTGTTTGTGAGGAAGCACGGTGCAAACACAAAGACCATTCAAGATATTGGTCCACTGCGGCCATGGCATAACTTCTTGAGATCCAACTGCAGATTAAACTATTCTGCCTAAAGAGGATGTAGGCATTGCTCATTGCTTTATTAGTATAAATATAGATAGAACGATTTTTATTTTGCTTTTTTTATTTTGTTTTTTCCACGTTTCGGTTCGTTTACTAGTGAAAGTTAATAGCTTCTAGTTATCATGTAGTACACGATTGCAAGCCGAAATCCAAATGAGAACTATCCATGGGATAATGGGACAGTTCGGGCTAATCCAACTGATCAATCTATTATTATTGATCTCTTAATTTCTACAGTTTCCAATGAGGCTCTCCAAACTCATTAATGAGCTCTGGGTTTGGAATGTGTAGGGAGAAAAAATGATTGAATCCCTTTGTAAAGCATATATTCTTCATTTTATAGTAGTAGCTTAGGGAAACTAAGTGGACTCGGCTTTTGCGTTAGGGTGCCATAGCCCATACGGCTAGTAGTAGTTATCCCATCGATAGTGTACTCTTTGTAGGGGATGAAGTAATGGAGTATAAAAGCTCTCACAAAAACAGAATTTAGGAGTGCCAACTGCCAATGAAGGCATTAAAGCATTAGTACTACATCTGTCCAAAAGTCTCAGTATATGTTGTCATACAATATTCCTCTGGCCAATTTGATTCTCCTTTAGTTTTGATTTTATTATAATAATAATTTGGCTAAAGGGTCATATAGGTTCCTTTACCGATCGTGTAAGCTCAATTCAGTCTCTGAGATAAAAAAAAGTTCAATTCACACCCCGAACCGACAGAAAAGATTCAAATTTCATTTTTTACGAGTAAACAACTGGTCATTTTTTATTTTTTTATTGTTTCTATATCTTATTTTCGATTTATTGCAAATTGGACCTTTTTTACCGGTTGTCAACCTTAAAAAAATGAAATTTGAACCTTTTTTTGCCGGTTCGGGGAGTGAATTGAACCTTTTTTAGTTCAGGGACTGAATTGAGCTTACACGATCGGTACAGGGGCCTATTTGACCCTTTAGCCTAATAATTTTATACCAAGTATCAATATCATGTTGAAATATAGTATCCAAATATAATACTCCCTCCGTCCCTGATAACTTTGTCATCTTTCCTTTTTTAGATGTTCCAAAAACTTTGCCACTTTCTCTTTTCATCAATGAATTTGTGGTTCATGTTATTTCTCTCTTCTATGCACATATCTCAATCACACAGTTTTTATTTTATTATTTCTCGTGCCGGTCAAACATGGCAAAGTATTGAGGGATAGAGGGAGTATTAGATGAAAGCACCACTTGATGATCATTAGTATCCAAATACCGAGTATAATATTAGATAGATTGTGCACGGTATGAGAAGATTTGAACAGTAGGGTTTGTGGTGAATGAATGTCTTTCGAGAGTCCCAGGTTACATGATCTTAGGGTCTATAGGGAAAATCTGGGCCTAGATCAGTAACATGGACCTGATAGGCCTGGTTACATAAAAGGGCGATAATACCCTAAGAGGCTGTTGTCCAAACTCAATAGTGTGTAGATCGGGTGTCCAATACAATATACTCTATTATATAGTTTTGGTATGAAAATTTTAATTAATAATACTAATTTAATTATCATTGAGAAAGATGTAACACTGTCATTAACAAGCATACATAGATCGAATCTGAATTTTGATACAAGAGAGTATCCGGATTTAATGTTCCCTTTAAATTTAGTTTTTCAACAATGAGTCAATGAAGCTCAATACGGGTGTACCTAGGGCTGGCAATATCATCCGCACCCGCGGATATTCGGTGAACCCGAACCGAAAATATGGATGAAAATCCGAAAATGAATGAATGAAAAATGGATGACGGGTGGATTGAAACTTGAAAGACGGGTAGGATCGGGTGTGGATGAACACTCAACCAATCCATCAACCGACCCATCACCCGACCCATCCACCCACCCGCTAACCCGCAGAAAAAATAAATAAATATATATGTATATTATATTATATTACATTATATTATATTATATTATATTATATTATATTATATTATATTATATTATATTATATTATATTATATTATATTATATTATATTATATTATATTATATTATATTATATTATATTATATTATATTATATTATATTATATTATATTATATTATATTATATTATATTATATTATATTATATTATATTATATTATATTATATTATATTATATTATATTATATTATATTATATTATATTATATTATATTATATTATATTATATTATATTATATTATATTATATTATATTATATTATATTATATTATATTATATTATATTATATTATATTATATTATATTATATTATATTATATATATAATAATTAATAATATACTAGTGTATAATAATTACTAGTAATATTAATATATTGTGGAGTAATAAATACTCTGTATGTATTTGTTAATGAAGAAGACACATATCTATGAATTGGTGAAATAAAGACAATTGAAGAGTTTCAAGAAGTGACAGTTGAATTGCAAAAAAAAAAATTAGCCGAAGAAGAAATGTAGAATTTCTCAGTTTGAAAAAGTTTTATGTCTATTTTGTTTGACAATAACTTCTTTCTTTATTGACAGTGATTTAATGATTATAATATACTTAATTGCTCAAGTTTTTGTTGTTATTATTCAATGAAATTTAAAATTTTGGTTTTTAATTATTATAATTTCTATTTATAATTTATTTATTTTGTCTTTCAAGTTAAACCATTTATATTCACCCGTTACTCACCCGATCCACCCGATAACCCGATCATGATGGATGGGTTGAATGTGGATGTAATTTTTAATGGATGATGGACGGGTGGGTGGAATATGAAAAATTAACGGGTAGACGTGAATGAGCCTCCACCCGGTGTAAATCCGACCCGTTGCCACCCCCTAGGTGTACCAACATAGGCCATATGTTTGTGTATTCACATCCCAATTTTTATGTTTTTATCGTCAAACAAACAAATATATTAAATCAACAAAACATTCGTCACATGGCTGATAACACAATCAATGAAAAAGCAAGAAAAATAAAATGATAAAAATCCTTTTGTCTGCCGTCCATTCTTGAACCAAACTTAGAAACTAAGAAACAATAACATTTGTTGATCCTGTAATGAGTTTAACAGAGCCAATGACAGACAAACTAGACTTCTCATCACCTGAATTAAATTCTAGAATCTCTCTGTTAGGAAATAAGAACATGTCCAAAACAACATGCAAATTTGGAAAAAAATCACGAATGGAATAAAGCGGAATTAAAATAGAATTCACTCATCTTCTTTCAAACCCTAGACTCGCTTGCACTCCATGGCGGCGGCTCGGGAGGGGGACACGCCCGTCTCTCATCCGTCTCAATAGCCATGCTTTTGTATTGATTGATGATATCCTCCATTGATATCCCTTGCTGACGATATCCAAAACGTTGCATCCCTGGTCCCGAGCCTGCTTGCACGACCGAAATCGATCGACTGCCACTCTTCGTCGATGACGAAAGTGGAAGAACGAAACCCTAAATCATAGGAAGATGACTGCTGAAACCTGATTTTCATTAAAAACCATACATTGTTATTTCTATCAACATTATTAATTAATGGGGAAACATAAAAATATGTTCTTGAACTATATGTTTGAGAATAAATATACTCCTAAATTTCTTTTGATCCATTTAAACAAAAAAATTGTGAAGTTAGAATATATATGCTCAAATAATATTGGGGCAT